CCACGCCGTCAACGGCCCACTTACTTCTTCCCATGATTAATATTTTAAAAACACAACCAAATTTTGAACATTAAAATAATAATAATAATAATAATCATTCTTAAAAATAAAACTCACAGGGAAGAAATGTCGAAGAAAGAAGCACAAATTTTTTAAAACCAAAATATTATCGAACACGTTTTTAGTGATATATTTAATGAATCTAATATCTTATATTAAAACACATTGAAAAGTATTACAACATGATTGAAAATGATATATATAGTTGAAATACATACTTCGAGCTACAGTATCATACTATTTACTTAATAATTCAACATTTTATTTGAATTTATTGAATGAAAATAATTGAAGTTTTTGTTCTCTTTAATAGAACGTCAACAGTAACATGATTAAGATACAATCAAATTTGACGATATCATGTCAAATAATTGATATCGTATCTAAGTTTTGTTGATCATACGTTCTTTTTTTCTTATATGTTGGGTCGTTGTTGCCGTTAATGGCGTGGTGGGCAGATTATCATAATCATTTTATCATAACTCATAATACATTTTGAGGTATTTTTATTTTAAGAGGTGTAGACATAATTTTGACAAACGGTCGTAGTAATAAAAGTAATAAATAATTGGTTAACACGAGAGTAATTAAGTAATATTTTTATTATAATATATATATATATATAATATTAAATTGAAGGTGAAAGAGAAAGCGGCATCCTAGTAGACATCAACGTGGGGCTTTGTTTGGATATTGTTAGGTATCAAACTGTCAGTTATTTTTTACGCGTAAGACGATGGGGATTGGATAAACGTACAGCCAGTTGTTGTACTGAAAATGACTGCTCCTTCTTCTTCTGACACGTGTCCATTTGACACTTTCTTACTCAGTCTCACTCTCACAGGCTCTTCCTTTTTTTGCTTTCCACCAATGCCCCTCTCTCTTTTAATATGGAATTACTATTATTATTTTATACGCTAAAAGCAACCAATAATTACTATTATTAGAGCTAATAATTGCCCAATGATTAATTAACAATATAATTAACCCAAATTTTAAAAGAGGTGGTTACAGACCAACCGGAGTTCACAACCCGACCTAACTCATCCCTTTATTTTAATAGGGTTAGGTTAGGGTGTGTCGTGTTCTTTTTTAATATTATTATTTAAAAAAAATATACCTTTATAACTAAAATATCATAAAATTCGACCCTTAAAATTTGGGTTCGATAATCTAAATTGTTAGGTTGTCTGCTCATATGAACATCCTTGAAAAGTAATACTAAATTAATAATTTATTTTTGTTAATTAGTTCGCTATCATGTTGACATGAACAGATCGTTTTAATAGTACGCATGTGAATAACAATAATGAAACACATTTAAAAAACGAGGATATAAAATTAATTTAATATATTTAAATATTAGATTATGGAATATTATTTCATAAATTTATTTTTTTAAAAGAAAATTGTACATAGGACAAACGTTTTCTAAATCTCTCCAAATGTTCCCTCCTATATTTAATAATAATATATTAATTCCATTAATAATGAAAAATAATAACGAGAAAAAAAAAACATGTTTTCCATTTTAGCTCGAATAACAATACAAACACATTAATATTTTCTCGGGATCAAATTTATAGCTCCGTCAATAAATCGCACTAATAACCATAAATTCAAGTAGTACGAAGTTTTTATCGATTATATATTTATATAATCTGATTTAAAATAATAATAATAATGGTAAAATTTGATGAATTTAAATAAGCTCGTTTACTCTCGTTTTTTTTGTGTCTCGTTGTGTATTAGTTTCGGTGTCGTATTGTTCGACAGCTAAAAACAACTTTACTTAGGAAAGAATTAATTTTTTTTATTTAAAAAAAAAAAGAATTAGCTTAAATGGGGGGGGGGGTGATGAGGTGGAAAAAAAGAGCACGTGGTCCACGCGTTTCCGCGGAAAAATGTGGGTAGCAACAAACTGTAAGCGTGTTGGCAAAAGAAACAACTGTGTGACGTCACATCTAAAAGGTATTAAATTCGTGTTGCTGTCCACGTCACCACTCCACCGTGTCTTCTCGTACCTTCTGCTTCTTAGATCCTTCCATTCTTCATTTTTCATTTTTTTTAAAAATTTTTCTTTTTGGTATCTTAAAAAAAAAAAAAAAAAAAAAACACAACTTGTTCTTGTCGTTTTATAACTATTCTTCTTCTTGATTTGTTTGAATTTTGAGAGTTTTACTAAGTCTCGGTCTCGTACCTGTACCGATATATACTTTTCGTCCTTTATAGTTTTTTGGATCTAAAATCAGACTTTTTTCGTCTTTTATAGGCTTCAATGAAACTTTACTCGATCAGACTCATTGCTTGTCTCTGTATTTTTTTTTTATTTCATCGTTTTGGTTCTCAAATAACACAACCACATGCATTTATAATAATCCAAAATTTAACTAAGATTTATTTAAAACGACTCTAAAACGCTCAATTGCAACTCACCAACGAATTCCAACTCTTATCAAAACTTACTAATCATTACATCGTTTATTTAGAACAAAAACTATGCAAATCAAGAACTCCCGAGTCCCTTTGACACCTCATGGTATCACCATCTCCTTTAATATTTACTCAACCCATGAGTTATCGTTATATTTACTCAACTCCATATACTAATATTAAAAGTTTTCTTTAAACAAAATAAGTTAAGAGTACATTCCATTTCAATCCATCGATAAATGTATTTTAAAGAAGTTTTAAGTTTAAATATATATTCTTAAGGATATTTAATACTAAATTATAGTTTACCATATATATCACATTGATATTTTATTAGGTAGATATTTGCCTTTCTTACCATAGGTATCTCTCCACTTACTGTTATTTTCCTTTATTACTATTTTCATATCCTTGTAATTTTGGTATCTCTCCACTTACTGTTATTTTCCTTTATTATTATTTTCATATCCTTTATTACTATTTTCATATCCTTGTAATTTTGGTATCTCTCCACTTACTGTTATTTTCCTTTATTACTATTTTCATATCCTTTATTACTATTTTCATATCCTTGTAATTTTGGTATCTCTCCACTTACTGTTATTTTCCTTTATTACTATTTTCATATCCTTGTAATTTATTTAATTATAAATGGAGAACTTTCATGCACCATGAATTAACCAAACATTCTCTCACACATACATACATATATGTACATATACATACATAGATATACATATACATACATATATATACATATACATACATTTATCTACATATACATACATATATCTACATATACATACATATATATATATATTTCAAAATTTTAAGAGATTTGAAAATAAAAAATATTGATTATTTATTTATTTTGAAAGAAAAAGGGTAGGCGCAGCGAAGGAGCAGGAAAATGAGTGTGTATAGCCACGTCAACATCAAAACTTAGCCCAAAAGGGAACCCTCCAATGACAGCTCGCAGATTCATGGTTCATTCCCTGCCCGACCCGGTCAAGACTTTATTTTATTTTATTTTAATAATTATTATTAAAAATTAAAAAAAAAAAAAAAAAAAACTGTCTCAGCATTTTCCAGCCTGTCTTAAACTCCGTGTTCAAAATCAAAATCAAATCTTTTGTTGTTCTTATAAATCTGTGATCTCTCAGTCTGACCCACTAACTATAACTGAAATTTATATAAAATCTTAAACAAAAACACAATTCCGAACTCAAAATTCCCAATTTTTGTTTTTAATAATGGATTTTCCCGATGCTTCTTCTTCTTCTAATTCCGAATTCTTCACTTCCCGCCGATCCAATTTCTCCGACGAGGAGCTTCTCCTGGCATCCCGACACCCCAAGAAGAGGGCCGGCAGAAAGAAATTCAAGGAAACTCGCCACCCTGTTTACCGTGGTGTCCGCCGCCGCAATTCCGGCAAGTGGGTCTGCGAGGTCAGAGAGCCCAATAAAAAGACTAGGATTTGGCTCGGTACTTTCCCCACCGCCGAGATGGCTGCTCGGGCTCATGATGTAGCCGCCATCGCCCTCCGCGGTCGCTCTGCTTGCCTTAATTTTGCCGACTCTGTTTCCGCGCTTCCTCGCCCGGCTTCTCTTGATCCCAAGGATATTCAGAGGGCCGCGGCTGAGGCTGCAGAGGCCTTCCGCCCGCCGGAGACTGCCCCGGCGGAGGATATGTTTTGTTTCGATAACGATGAGATGCCCGGGTTTCTGGCGGACATGGCGGAGGCAATGCTGCTGCCGCCGCCCAATTGTGTGGCGACTGACCACGACGACTATGGGCCGAATTCCATGGATTTTGATGCCGACATGTCGTTGTGGAGTTACTCAATTTGATGACCTCATAATTAATTATATAATTGGGGTTTTTAAATTGACGTGTAAAATAGGGTTTTTTTTTATTACCTATTTCTAAGGAAGAAAAGGAGAGGTAAAAAAAAAAATTCTTCCACTTTCCGTACTGGTTTTTATCTTTTAGGGAAGTACGGTAGTTTTAAAAATAATTATAATAAAAAATATATATTTTTGAAAAAAATAAATGCATATAAAGTATTTGTGTCTGTAAATGTAGTTACCTTTTAACTTAACTAAATGTTTTATGTCTAATTAATGATATCAAAAAATAGATCCATAAGTACTTTTTATGGATTATGTCATTAAAAATAGAAATAAAATATAATTATTAGTTTGAGGGTCAGTTTGGGCATATAGCAAATTGATTAGTTCAACTCAAGTAATGGATGTCATCGACTAAAAAAATCACTCGTGATTGATACATGTTTCAAAGCTTTTAAATTATTGAGCTGGTTCAAAGTTTTTTAATTTCTCTTCACGATAACAAAATCAGCTCAACCCATAAGATGATAAGTTGTGCGACATTCAACAAATTAAATGATGCAAAACATAGCTCCTTGACCCATAAGATGATAAGTTGTGCGACATTCAACAAATTAAATGATGCAAAACATAGCTCAATTATGTAAGGCATACATCTTGGATCGAGAAATTATGAATATATTGAAAAACCTAGAGGAAAATTGACCTGTAAAGCGAAAAATCTAGATGTCGGCCGTTTTCAGGTCGACAAGAAAACTCGTCTTCCTGTGAAAGTAGAATGTATAACAGTGACAATCCCCTCAAGAATAGGAAGTAAAACAATCAGTGACTGAGTTTAGAATGGAGCTTTAAAGAGGAAAAGAGCATTATTAGTCATTGTATTGGCTGAAATAAGGCCGCCATCGATGGTGAAGGACTTTTGAGTATTGGATTATCTGTGAGCTTGAATATGTTGGCCTGCTTCTTCAAGAGATAGAAGCTCCTGCATGAGAGATGCTAGCTTATTCACGTTCTCCTCGTGAATATGTGGCCGGACCTTCTCTTTGTAGCCACTTGCATCCATCATCTTTTTCAGCTTCTCCTGTTGCCTGCACGATGAAGATGATCGATCAGAATGCCACGACACAGGATGTTCTTCGTGCATCGGTTATGTTTATTTTATACAAATGATGATGAGCATGAAAACATTTTTGTTAGGAAGCAAATGGCTTACTTTCTAACTTCCTCCATCTTTTTCTTGATCTTTTCAAGCTCTGCTTCTGCAGAAATGGCTCCTTGAAATTGGAGATAGACCGATAGGTTTTCGTTTATGACTGATACAGCACATCCGACAGGAGCAGCATCGTTGTCGTTGATCACCTAAACAGAAATCGTACCACAGGACGGAGAATAGATGAGCAGTGCATGGGGATTATTAGACTTGGTAAACATAAAAGTATGCATCCCCAACAAAAGAAAATTGCCAGATAGATTTTGAATCTTATATTTATGGCACTATACCGTTAATGATGATAAATTGGCAAGGGTCACTATTTCCAACTTGCGTTTGTTGATGGTTTCAGCAACGACATCGTTGCGAGGGAGCACGTAGCCAGGTCGCCTGAATTAAATTAGAACAGTTAAAAGAGGGTCGATCAAATCAGTCATGCTACGGTAAACAACTCCGTTTCAAAGATCTGAAACCTCGCCCCCCAACTATATACAGAATTATTTTCTACTCTTAATCATCTCGACTCATCCATATCTTACGGGTATTTGAATTGCATGGCGTCTCATGATACTTTGAATCAAATACTAGTTTTCCATAGAAAATGTAGATTCTCAAGTAGATAATTGCACAACGTCGTAGACTTCAAGTTAACAAACCTTTCACGGCTTTCTTTTGCCAGTGACCTTAGAGATTTAACAGCAGATACGATAAGATCCATCTCAGTCTCCACAGATTCATTAGTCCATTCCTGAAAAAATTGAGGGATTGTTATCAGCAAATTAATGATTACATAATGAAAATTATGCATCCGATTGGCCAAGTCGACGAGCCTTTAGATGACAAAAAGTCCCAAATAGAAAGAACCTCCAGGAAGTCGTAACAAATGCATGCATGCACATTGGAGCTATATACTATGACGGAACCTCATAAATGCATGCATGCACTAACAGAAAAACTAACCTCTGTCACAGATGGATAGTCGCATATCATTATCGATTCTGGCCTCGTACTACTCTTCGGGTAAGGAAGGCGTTGCCATAATTCTTCTGTAACATAAGGCATAAATGGGTGAAGCAATCGCAACCCATTTTCAAGGCATAACCATAATGTATCTTGCGCATGACTCCTTGCAGATGCATATTCTGTATCATTGGAGGAAAAGTATGGCTTAATTGCTTCGATGAAGACATCACATAATTGATATTGCCACCAAGAGTAGACAGCGGTAGTTGCATCTGAAAACTCATATGCTTCGAGCGATGAAACTGTTCTGGATATTGCCTTGTTAAGTACTGACAATATCCACTGACAGCTAAATGGCAAGGCATCTGGTGTCACATTCTTGCTTGGAACATAATCATTTCCAAGCTTACTCATAGCAAATCGGATTGCATTCCATAATTTATTGCACCATTGACGGTAACCAACGACTCTTTGGATATCCAAATTTATTTTATCAGACTGACAAACCGAGGGAGGGAGGGGGAGAGAGAGAGAGAGAGAACAATAATCAGTAATAAGTAATCAGTTTCTAGGAACAAACACAAATGCTCAACCAAAGACAAACCTGAGCAGTGTATGAGATCAATGCAAAACGGAGAGCATCTGCACCACATTCAGAAATGCCATTAGGGAAGTCCTTAACCTGTCCTTCCTTGGCAACAGCCAATTCTTTGGGGTCCAAATTGCCCTCTTCCAGCCTTTTATGAAGGCCTTCAAGAGATATCCCATTTATTACCTCAACAGGATCGATAACATTTCCCAAGGACTTCGACATCTTGCGACCATGTGCATCACGAATCATGGGGTGCAAATATATCTAAAATAATTAATTTAAAGTGTATTCGTCACAAATGATGTATGATCAAACGGAAAATTTTTCTATTATGTGAAAAATAGGAAGAAGCTGCATTACCGTCCGAAAAGGTACATCTCCGCCTAATGTGATTCCTAACATTACCATGCGAGCAACCCAGAAAAAGAGAATATCATGACCAGTTTCCAGAGCTGATGTCGGGTAGAATGCCTTTAGATCTTCAGTGTTATCAGGCCAACCTAACACAGATAATGGAAAGAGCCCCGAGGAAAACCACGTATCAAGCACATCAGGATCTTGTGTCAAATGAAACTTCTTTCCTGCATAAATTAATTTTGCCTCCTCCTCAGCCTCTTCCTCATTTCTTGCAACCACCCAGTGATCATTATAGGCACCAAACTCTTTAAGTTGATCATCATCTAATGTAGCATACCATGCAGGGATCCTGTGACCCCACCAAAGTTGCCTTGAGATGCACCAATCACGAATGTTCTCTAGCCACCTGTAGCATACAATCTAAATTAGAATAATGTTTCAAATGCAAGAGCAAAAACATAGGGGTGAAATGAAGGTAGAGTTAATGACAACTCCTGAATGGAAGGTAGTTTTTTCATTAAAAAAAAAAAAAAGAACAATGAAAATCCCTGCCCAAAAAAAAAAAAGTACAAGAAACGAAGAGCTACAAAGGAATTCACTATCTTTCCTTGTAGTAATTAGAACGTCCTTAATCTACTGTAATGCCCACCCACTTAACTACCAGTCCTCATCATTAACATTTCTCCTTATCATAAATCTCCATGATCCAGAGACCTCCTCTCAACCTTCACAAACAACAAAATTTCTTCCAAGTCAAAAATAAGAAGTCTGAGACCTAAAGACTGATTTCTAACCCAAATGTCAGTCCAGAAAAAGCAATCTTACGATTTCCTAAGCTAATTTTATCCGATGTCCCCAAAGGAGCCCTTTCCTAACCTAATTGAAGAGAATCAATCAAAATGTGTTTGAGCTTCATTATATTCCACCAAGGACTTCTTAAACTTGTTTTCCTTGCTTCAGTAAACCACACAACTTTCTCCTTCCCATATAACCCGATTGAAAAGAAGATCATGACTTAAATTTCTAACCACCAATTAAAATAAATGATTAAACCAAATTCAGTACAAATAGTTCTTGTGTCTGTTTGAAAAGCATACTAAATTTAACCTCCTATTCATGGAAGGGCACTGCAGGAAAGAACAATTCAAATCATGCTCGCAGTTTCTTTTTAGTGTAAAATCAAAGCAAGTTAATCAAATAAACGAAACAACCTCTTCCAATCAGCAGAATATTGTTTTGGTATGATCTCGATCTTTTTGCATTCATTGTCCGTTACGGCGTCAAGACTCTGCTTTGCCATATCTTTACAATTAACATACCATTGAGGCTTTATCATTGGCTCCACAACATCATTGCTCCTTGAACAAAGGCCAAGACGCATCTCATTGTCTTTAGCACCTCTATACAGACCCTACAGACGTAGAACATAAGAAATCACAATTTGTACATCCCAACCACTAAATGTAAATTGCAATGCAACACACTTATAAATCTAGATGATCATAAATATAGCTATGATACATCATAGATTACTAAAAGTATAATTTTGCACTGTCAAATGAGCCAACAACTCTCACGTTGAGTAATTCAAAACAAATTTGTTGGAGCAGTTAGTTTCATCAGCAAAACATTTTCCAGTTTCTGCAGGCCAGCACAAAGGGGTAAAAAAATATATTTAATATCAAAGCAACAAGTCCTAAACTGAAGTCCGTTAAATGCAAATAAAATTCAGCTGCATTAACAGAACAAAAGATACTTTTATCTAAATGTTTCCAAAAGGCAAAATTCATGAGTCATTAACATTCTGGAAGAACAAATCCATCTAAAGCCCACCCCAAAATTTAATAGCAGTTTGAAGAAAAACAAGCTGAGAACAATAAGGTACCTTCTTCTGCAAGGCATCCACTACCATCTCCCGGACTTCAAAACGTGGCATTCCTTCAAACTCTGAGCCACCATTGCTATTTATTTTACCATCATCAGTAAAAATATTTATGAACTCAAGGTTATGACGCTTTCCAACCTCAAAATCGTTTGGGTCATGAGCAGGTGTGATCTGCAGGAATAAGAAATGGGGGAGGGAATTGGAGAAACACTTGTATCATTCATGGAAGCAAAATAACAATATGAAACTACTCAGAAACAAAAAGACAACCCCTACCTTAACAGCGCCAGTCCCAAAATTTGGATCAACAAGAATTGCATCACAAATTATAGGAAGCTTCCTTCCATTAAAAGGATGAATAGCAAATTTTCCATGAAGATGCTTGTACCTCGTGTCATCAGGATGAATGGCAATTGCAGTATCCCCAAGCATAGTTTCCACTCTAGTAGTGGCTACTACAATCTCACCCAATTCCCCTTCAAGAGGATAAGCAAATGAAGTCAAAACACCAAATTCCACAGGCTTCTCATATCCTGGAACCTTGAGAAGAGTCTTTTCTTTTATATCAATATAGTCCACCTAAACATGCACGAAGTATTAATAAATACCAGATAGATTGATAAAACACATCACTTACAGCATTTAACAAACCTCAATATCAGATATCGCAGTACGCAAGACACAATCCCAATTCACCAAACGCAAATCCCTGAAGGAAATAAAAAACAAAAGTAAAATTATTCATATTATAGCATTAACCAATAACTATACCACACTGGCCTTTCCAGAAACTAACATAATTTCTAGTAACACTTCGACTGTCAAGCTTTTGGTAAATGAATACACACATCATTAAGTATCCGTACATGGTAACTTTCAATTAGAGTGATATAGAAGTACTTGTTTGTGTAAGCATGTGGGTAAGGCAACAGACGCTAGACCACAAGGCATCATTTTTCTTTTGTTCTTTAATAAGAGAAGGTATATTAACAAATCAAAAAGTAACAACCCAGAGGCTGGGGCAGAGGAAACCCTCCAAAGATTTTCTTTCTTTTCTTTAATAATGATTCTTAACATCGAAGCAAGGTTATGCAGACCTTAACCTTAATCCTACAGAACGCCCATCAAATCTAATAAAATTTGGCATCAGCAACCTTTATAGGATAAAAATATTCTGCGCAGCAACCAAGACTCACACTCATGATTACTAGGCATTTGAGTATCTAACCATCAAGTACTTGATAGTTGCTTTCTCAAAGCCACTAATCACCTCCAAAATTCAAAATGAACAAATGTTACCTAACTTCACTCATACCTATAAATAAGTCCATTTTTGAACAGCCTGACAAAAGCCTCTGTGACAGCCCTCGATCTCTTCTCATCCATTGTGAAGCACTAAGGACAGGAATGTAGCAAATTTATGAAACAGAAGCAAATAAACAAAATACCACAGAAAATTCTAACCTAAAATAGAACATTGAGGTATATAATGGCACTACTAGTACTGCCCATAATGTAATATCACCTCCAATTGCAGCAGAAGATATTAAACATTTACCTCACGGGTCCAATCAAGAGAGGCACCCAAACGACGCAACTGTTTTAATATTGTACCACCATACTTGGTTTTCCAATCCCAAACCTTCACCAAAATTTTGATGCAACCATTTAGTAAAATGGATAGTGAGAACCAGCAGAAAACCAAGGAAAAAGAGAAAGTTAATGTAGAGTTCAAACTTACTTCAGAAATAAATTTCTCCCGACCAATATCATGTCTGGTTAAATTCCTTTCTCGCATTATCTTCTTTTCTACAACAACCTATAAAGGGGGGAAAAACAAAGGAAAAGAAACTTCATAAAGCTGCCATGTATGAACAAGCAGATGAAAATCAAGACAGGAAAAGGCCAACCATCACTGCAAGATTATAGTTTACTCATCAACATATGCATACAAAAAGTTTAGATGTGCCACTTTTGGATAATGGGTAGCAAGTGCATGGTCGTGGTTCTTTCTTGGTTCCTATTTTGACATTCTAAATATAGGCCGTGCTTTGAAATCCTTTCACGCCTTGGGCACAATATTTTGCCTTCACAATCATGCATCTTATGAAAAACAATATCAACTAACAATCTATTCTTAAAAAATATATAACTTTACTTTGTAATGTTAACATACCGCTATGGTGATGGAGCCCATTACTACGTTTACCATCAAGGCTTTAAATCAAACGTTGAAGAGTTAGAAAAACAAGCCAAACCTATACTGCTGATACCCTCTAGAATTTTAAATTGAGAAATTTCTGTCTTTCCTTTTCGTTCTATGAGAGAACCATAAATAAAGTAAAGAAAACAGGGCCTCGCAGAACACAGGGTCCACTCAATCAACAAAGCGACCATCAAAAGAAGAAACCATAACAGGGAAGCCCACTTTGCCTTGTCCATAATATAGAATAGATCCTATTCAAAGAAAGTTGTCTTATTTATTTACCAACCACAAACACTCCATGACAACAGAGAATCTTGCTTTCCATAGAAAGCTTCCCCTTCCCAAAATGGAGACAAAATCCTCCATCACATCATGTAAAGCATGGCAAGATGCAACAGAAAACCCAAGAGCATGGCTAATTCCATCAGTGTTACTGAATGGTCTTAATGAGAAGTACAACAAGCATAAAAGCATTCCCTTATCAATAAATTCATTAAACCACTAAGGCAAAAAACATATTCTCGTGCCTATCAAAGAATGGCCCATCCCATCAATGTCAAAGGAAATTAAAAGTAAGAGACAAATGGTGAAAACCTGAGTGGCTATACCGGCATGGTCTGTACCAGGAACCCACAAGGTGTTGTATCCAGACATTCTCCGCCATCGAATAATGGCATCCTGCATCAGACCCAAAAAATCACTTGGAAGGCAAAAGAAGTTCTTACAATGTATCTAAACAGAAGAAAGAAAATATTTGTAAATGCGTCATATGTCACCTCAATTGCAGCAGTAAGAGCATGACCAATGTGGAGCGCCCCTGTCACGTTAGGTGGGGGCAACACCTGCAACAAAAAATAAAATAAAATAACAGATAGTATAGATTTATTTTTAATACGCAAGCTTTCAATTCAATAAGCACTTAAAATCTAAATAATGCAAAAGTATTAACATATTGACGTCAAGTAAATAATTGCATGGAAGAATGTGGCTGTAGGTGTGCATATTACAAATTTCATACAGGTGAAAAACATATGAGAAAGAACTAAAAAGACAACCATGAATATCCTATTCACTCGCAGATTTTAAACATAGACTTTCGGCCCAAAATAGGAAGGGTTAATCCATCATATCGTCAAAGCAGGATACATCAAATAAAATTTTAAATAAACATTTTAAAGTTATATAAAGTTCTGTCACATATCACATAAAAACTGAAAAATATGCAAAAGTACATTCTTATATTCTGAAATTCAAGCACCAAATGTCAAAGTAAATGCTCACAATTACAAATGGCGGCTTGGAGCTTTTAGCATCAGCAACAAAAAATCCTGATTTTTCCCACCACTCATACCACCTAGATACAAAATAAGAATTTTACAAGTTGCAGCAATCAGAAAATATAGAATGACTTACGAAAAGGGAAGTCATAGGAAATTAAAATGTCACACTCACGACTTCTCCACGGCACTAGGATTGTATTGCTTTGACATTTGCTGAGACATCAATTTCTTTTTACCAAAGGGGGTGTCAGGGTCAACAAAATCCTCAGCATTTTCTTCATCTCCGCCTCGTCTGGCATTCTTCTTCTCACTCTTTTTAGGAGCATTTGATGTTTGTTGGGCCTAAAATTAATTGGAAAAAAATTAAAATATGAATTACAAACTCAAGTTGTATATTTAGACAAAAGATGCAAAGTAAAAATAATAATAATAATTTTTAAAAAAATTATGGCGAAAAACCAAAGAATGGTATCTTAAACTGCACCGAAACGATTAATATGATTGATAAACCATAAACATTACCTGCAGCTTCAACGCTTTCTCTAAAGCCTTTTTCTTTTTCAATTCTTTTTCTCTTGCCTGCCACCGAGTAAAGGCTCGTCAGCCAACAGATGTTAAGTCAACAAAATATTTCCAAGAAACATTGGACATAAAAACTACATAAGTTGAATGTTATCAGGTGCTGAGAACACACAATTTCTTGGAGCTGCTTCAGCCTAGATACTCACTAACATGCAATGACCTTGAAGAAATTCATTTTTATTGTTCGAAATAAATGTTGTAAGAATATAATAGCAACTAAAACTAGGAGAATTCAAAGTCTGGAACAATGTTACTGGGAAGCAGAAAAATTAATATGAAAATGACAATGAATTGGAAAACCTTCATGGACCGAACACTCGATTGAAAGAACGGAATTAAACAGTAAGTCAAAGTGCCAAAACCAATCAGATAATGCATCCTCCTATAACAATAACATCAAACAAAAATTTCCAGGTAATGAGAAACCTTTTCTTCCTTCTTCTTCTTCTTCTCAGGATCTTCCACTTCGGGTTTCTTGACCGATTCCATCTGGACATCAAATGATTCCAAAAATCAAATAAAGCAAAATATAAAAATTAAACAAGTCTAAACACTCCCAACTAATCCGAGAAAACCAACATCTTTAAGCGGAGCAACAGAGAATTCAGGACAGATGCCTTTAGAAAATGAAGAAAATGGAGCTCTGTGGACACAGCTGAGCTTGTAGCTTTGCCTGCTGAATAAAGAAACGAGTAATGGCTCTCCTAAAACCCTGCCTTGTTTAACACACACTGCCAACAGATTCAAAATTCCATTTCTCATTCTGGGAATTCATAATTGTTCTTCACTTCCAAAATCACTCCCCTAAAAGCCACCCCACTGTATGCTATATTCTCCAAAAAGAAAACAAAAACAAAAACAAAATTAAGAGAAAGAAATTGATCCGTGCGGACCTCGGGGGCGAGCGGCTGAGAGATGGAGACTGAGCTTGCGGCTGCGGCTGAACAGGGGCTGACGTGCCGTTGCAGCAGAAGTAAAAATAGCTGGGCAAAAGAAGGGAGGGTAGGGTTTTGGTTTTTTTTATTTTTCCTTTTAATACGTAATATTTTATTATTTAACCATTTCCACGTACTTTATTAACTACTAAAATTTAAAATTATATATTTATAATAATAAAAATCTATGTTAAAAAAATATTTTTCTAAATTATACTCACGTTTACCTATAATTTATACTTTTACTCTTAAAAAGATTAAAAATATAATTTTAATATTCCCTTTAAATTCCTCACTTTTTTTAATATTCTATTTTATTCTACACATTATCCATAGCTTTTTCATTTTTATATATATATATATTAAATTTTGATATTTTTTATTTTTTATTTTAGCTCGAAATATGGAATAGTCGAGATCATCACAACAAAAATTAATCATCGTACATAAGTGACATGATTTGTTTGGTTGTCGAAGAGTGAGGCTAATGGATAATTGAGACTTGAAGGTCAGTGACCGATATTCTCAAGTAATTTCAATAATGTCATTTTAGTTTATGTACTCGTAGATTGTTAAATTCTTTGCGTGTAAGTTTCTTTTGACGTAAGCATCTAAGTAGCATCGCACCATCTTGTTAAGATGAAGCAGTTTTAAGTGCCAGACTCAATGTATCACGAGTGGCCAAGTTTAAGGACTAATTATACGAATTAATGTTTACGATGCTTGTTACACCATGTCTCTAGTCAAGCTCGACAACTATCAAATATTACCATGTCAATTTCTTCTGTTTTATGCTAGACAACATCGATATAGTTCGGGAGGACCAACTGTGATGTCCCACATTGGTTGGAAATGAGAACAAAAACACCCTTTATAAGGGAATGGAAATCTTCCCCTAGCTGACGTGTTTTAAAGCCTTGAGGGAAAGCCTGAAAAAGAAAGCCCAAAAAAGACAACATCTGCTAGCGATTGATCTGGGCTGTTACAAATGGTATTAGAGCCAGACACCGGACGATGTGTCAGCTTTCTCGCTATTCCCCGAAGGGGGGTAGACACGAGGCTTGTGTCGGTAAGGACGCTGGCCCTGGGCCGTTACAAATGGTATTAGAGCCAGGACGATGTGCCAACCTTCTTGTTGTTCCTCGAAGTGGGGGGTAGACACGAAGCGGTGTGCCAGTAAGGACGCTGGCCCCAAAGGGGGTGGATTTGGTGGGGGTCCCACATCGAATTGGAGAAAGGAATGAGTGCCAGCGAAGACGTTGGACCCTAAAGGAGGGTGGATTTTGATATTCCACGTTGGTTGGGGAGGAGAACAAAAACACCCTTTATAAGGGTAGCGGTGGATCTGGGCCGTTACAAATGGTATCAGAGCCCGACACCGGACGATGTGCCAGCGAGGATGTTGGGCCCCGAAGGGGGGTGGATTGTGATGTCCCACATTGGTTGGGGAGGAGAACAAATACACCTTTTATAAGGGAGTGGAAACCTTCCTCTAGCAGATGCGTTTTAAAGTCTTGAAGCTCGAAAGGAAAAGCCCAAGGATGACAATATCTGTTAGCGGTGGATCTGGGCCGTTACACCAACGTTCCCAGGGACGTAGAGACTGTGCAACATTTTGCTCACGACACTCAAGAAAGTTTTAATCTTTGAAAGCGATTATTCTTATATTGTCGAACTATGATCGTTCATAATCACTTATAAAGTTAATTCAAACATGCACCTTAAAAGATGTTCGGTAGGTGTCAAAATTTCAAACGTAATGAAATTTGGTAAAATGTTACTTCAATGAACCATGCTCATTGAGGTGTCCAATACATTTGTCTAACCCTTTAGTTTGATATGAAAATTTATGTCTATCATTTCATTTGTAGGTGTTATGTGAGGAATTTGTCACGCAGGTGCTTTAATTTGTAGGTGTTATTTGAAGAGCCTTGGCCTTAGCCTTAGCCCTGGAGGTGTTATTTGAGGGAGGGTTTCAAAAGTGATATGGACTTATGTTAGAATGCATAGGATTGGTATGAATAATAGCCGCCACAACAACCCCACTTAATTCATCACCTTTTTCGCTTCAAGTACTACAATAATAATCCGATGACAACGATTGAAGTGAACACTCATTGTTATTGTTCGTTCGTGACAAAAATAGGTAGGATATAATCATTCGATCTAAATAATTGTGTAATAGTTCAAACCCACAGCTAATAGATATTGTCCACTTTAACTCGTTACGTATCGCCGTCAGCCTCATGATTTTAAAACGCTTTAGTTAGAGAGAGGTTTCTACACCCTTGTAAGAAATGCTTTGTTTCCCTTTCTAATCGACGTGAGATCTCACAATATACCCTATTGGGTGTCCAGTGTCAGATGACACACTGCCTAGTATAAGGAATGTTTTGTTCCTTTCTTTAATCGACGTGGGATCTCACAATCCACCCCCTTAAGATCACACTACCCCGTGTCCAGCTCTGATACCATTTGTAACAGTTCAAGCCCATCACTAACAGATATTGTCTGCTTTAGCCCGTTATGTATCGTCGTTAGCCTTACAGATTTAAAACATGTCAATTAGAGAGAGGTTTCCACACCCTTTATAAGAAATGTTTCGTTCCTCTCTCCAATCGATTAGGATCTCATAGATTGGATGATTAATGCAGACCATTCAACCTTATATGTTGAAGATTAAGTTAAACGCCAATGTGTTTACAACTCTCGTGTGTGATTACAACAAATTGCATTTACAACTCGTGTTTGAGAATGAAAAATTCTAGGTTATTAATATACTTTTGAACTGTACGTGGTTGACATACAAGATGATCATATTCAACAAATAACTTAAAATACCGTATTTTTTACTCACTGACACATTGTTTGGTGTCTCACTCTAATACCATACTAGTAGATATTGCCCGCTTTAGCTCATTACGTATCACCATCAGCCTCACAGTTTTAAAACAAATCTACAAGAGAAACATTTCCACACTCTTACGAGTAATGCTTCATTCCCCTCTCCAACCGACGTTTGATCTCACATCTCATGTATTTACCGACCCTTTTTTATAAATTATAACAAAATTAGATGAAGCAACACAAAAAATAGTTAAGAGTTTTTATCGATAAGTCATTATTTGTCTAACACACGACAAGAGCTAAATCATTCAATATCAACAGAGTATAGCTCAAACACGAACGAGACAAAACACAAACACACGTAACAATCTTATTAAGAGAAGATCACACACATTATTACACACTCCATAGTACTAAACATTACAAACCCTTTACAACAATATGATTCATAGATCAAAGATAGAACACACATGCATAGCTAATAAGAAACTAGCCATGAAGATCAGCAAATTTGTTAACCAAAGCCAAGGCATTGCTAGTCAAATGCGCAATCATCTCAATATGCTGTTTCACAAAAGCCTTCACATAGCCATCCATCGACCGCCCACCAAACCCCTCCATGCAAGCATCTTCATCCGTCAATGCCGCGCTTATCCATGTCTGAATGTTGCTCATTGTCATCTCGAAATCGAAGCCATCGCCCCCTTTGAGCTTCTTCATTTCACTAACTGACCTCTTGAGCCTATCCATGGAGTCCCTCAGCTCCTCCACGCAATCGGTCACGGCCCCCACCTCTCGGCGGCTCAGCTGTCCTTTGCTTTTCAGGAGGTTCGCTACCGTGCTCGACGTTGTTTCGGTTGAGAGAAGGGCTACATCGATGGCGGTTTTCGTTAGGAGTTCCGGGTTGGTTTGGATCTTGTTTGCATGAGCTGAGAGGGATGTGAAGCAAAGCTTGGGGTAGGTGGTTGCTGTGCATGAGGCTTTGATGAATTGGGTGGTGGCTTTGGGGATGAGGTCTGTTGTTGCTGTGGTTGAGTTCTTGTTGGGATCAATGGCTGCAAGAAGAACAAAGAAGATGAAAATTTGTTTGCTATATCCACTTTCCATGTCTCTCTAGTAGTAGCTACTTGGTTTTGGCTTACAAGTTTTTGGTGAAGCCTTAAGGGTGACACTTGCCAATTTATAGACCAAGACACCCAAATGGCTCTGTCCCCGTTTTCTAAAACTTTTTGTTTTGAACCGGAGCCAAAAGATCAAGTATACGTCTCTTGGTTGTAGGCGACGCAAGAACGAATAGGTTTAACTTAGCAGAGTAAGTACCGCACAACCGCAAGTCCGTTGCCATCAAGTGCGATTGTGACAAGTGATATCGAACTATTAAATTACATTCCAATTGGTTAAAGTTTTGATAAATATGAAAATCTTATCTGAAATACGAATATTTTGTAATTACCTAGTATTTTCATACATGCTACTATTAAAAAATTTATTGAGAAAATAAAATAAAAAATTAAATTAAAATTTTAAAATACGGTTATTTCAATATATATATATATATATATATTTTTTAATTTCATTTTCAACCCTATTAAATTTTCAGTCTATTATGAGATTTTATTTGATTTTAGTTGTTGGGCTTAACCCTCTTTCATCAGGTGGTGTTAAGCTGTTGTTATTTTAATTTAGGTTAAATTTTTTAAAAAAATTCAAAATATCGTTAATAAATACTCAATGTAATATTAATATCATTAAATTTTAAATTGAGATATAATAAAATACAATAATTTACGCCGTCAAATATACTATTTCGAGTTTAAAATTCGAACCTCGAATTTATTTAAAATATATTTCTGAATTTAAAATTAATAATTAATACCTATTTTTAAATTGGAAATAACATTAATAAAAATTATAAGTTAAACTAACGCTAAATTAGTAACGATCATTAATATTTAGATATTTTTTTATTTAATAATTGTCGGATGAATAATTAAACCGTCAAATATCTGTATATTATTCGTTAAATTATACTCGAATTAATTATTAGCGAGGGAGAGTTGGTGGAGCTTTACTTTTAATTTTTTTTAATAATTAGAATGGAAAATATTTAATAAAAGAATAGTGGTTTTCATGTTTGGTCCAATTTTGACCTAAGCAGGCGATTCGGTCCGATCTAATTTAAAAATTAAGATATTTATTTTGAAATAAATAAATTATATAATAAATTATATATATTTTTTAATACGTCCGTTTGGTTTTATTTAAGTTTCCTTGTTTGTAATTGTTAAATATTATTAATGTCATTTTCTTGCCAAAAAAAAAAGAAAAGTCTACAAATAAAGTATAAAAAATAAATAATAAGAAGTAGACTATTAATTATATTAAAATTTGTGTTGCCTTCGAAAATTTGTTTGTTATTTTCTTGGTAACTTACTTGTTTGAGCTTTTCTTTTCGTATATTTTAAAAGTAAGATTAAATTAATAAAAATATTTAGAAACTTTGTATTTATCTGAAAATAATTTTAGATAGAAACAATTTTTTATTTAAAAAATATTGATCATTAATATTTTCAGCTTAAAAAAAATAATAAAAATACCCTTTGAAAAAGAGCATTCTATTTTCAAATTTATTAATATTACATTTATAAATGGTGTTTTGTTCTCCTTCCCAATTCACCTCCTCTAGGGTCAAAGGTCACTGCTGGCACTTGTTCCTTTCACCAATCGACGTGGGACTGCCACCAAATCTACCACCTTCGTGCCCTAGCGTCTTTACTAGCACACCGTCTCATGTCTACCCCCTTCGGAGAACAGCGAGAAGGCTGACACAAGCACACCGTCTGTGTCTACCCCTTTCGGGGAACATCGAAAAGGCTGACACATCGTCCAATGTCTAGCTCTGATACAATTTGTAACAACCCAGGCCCGCTGCTAGTAGATATTATCTTCTTTGGGCTTTCCCTTATAAGCTTCCCTCAAGGCTTTAAAACTCGTTTAGTAAGATTTACACTCTGCTTTCTCTTCTCCACTCCAACTAACTTGGGACTGTGAAAGTATTTTTTATTAAAAAAAAGAAAGATTAGAAGCATTTTAAAATATTTTGAAAAAGTTTAAAAATGTGTTTTTTAAAGTTTAAAAATATTAATAAAATTGGTAAAAATTGAAGGGTAATTTTAAGACCCTTTTAAAAGTTAAAAAATATATTAAAAATAAGTGCTAATAATTTTTTTTAAAAAGTTAATTAAAATTTATTAAAAATATTTTTGAGACCAAATAAAAGGTTGAACTATATTTTAATTAATTGAGGTGAAAAGGCATAAACCAAATATCACTGAGGTAAACATAATATAATATTAATAAAATTAGAAATAAATATCTATTTTTATTAATAACTTGATTTAAAAAGAAAAATTTGGGAGATCTTAAATAAGACAGTAATATTTAAAAAGAAATTTTAATTTAAAAGGTCATTTGTTAAATACTTATCCCAAAATAAACAACGAGTAATTTTGAATTGAAATGAAATGCAAATAACAGTTATGTGATCTGACTGGCCATGCATTTTCCGCTGGTGGGACCCACAAATTCAAAACAAAATTTTTAAAAGAAAAAAAAAAAGAAAATAAATAAACTCAAACCACGGGCGCATCCCATTGGGCACCTTATGAAATTGCCCGCCACCACGTCCCTCCCTCTTTCTTCTTGTTCCTTCCCTCCCTCCCTCCATGGCTATGGCTTCCTCGTCCAAACTCTAGCGCCGGCTACTTCCACTTCATACACACATTCCTTCTAATGTTATGATTTTCTTTCTGTTCTTTCTTTTCCGCTTTTCGATCATGGCGAATTGATGTTTGTCTCGAGTTATGAACCGAATGTCCGCAGATTTTTCTTGCGGACAGCGGAGAGATTCGAGATGATGGAATGTTGTAGAGATATTCGTTGTTTATTCTGCTTTTTTGGTTGCGTATTTCTGTGAAGATAAACAATTCCTGGTTCATTCGTCGTTTTCCATAGAAGAACAACGGTAGAACGACGTTTGATGATATCCATGGACTTTTTCTGATTTCTTCGCGTTTACGTTGATATTATGGCGCTTTGTATGGAGAAGGAGAAGGAGACGGAGATGGAGATGGAGATGGAGATGGATGAAGAAATGGAAGAGGTTACTGACCAGCCATTTGATTCGGATGAGATTGATTTGGATTACGAGTTTGATGCCGCCATGTATTACGATTTTACTCGCCCCGAGACAGAGATGGAGATGAGAGGAGCCGAGGATTGGTTTAAATTCGCTGGAACCTATCCACCTTCTCGTAAGCATTTTGTTTTCTTATGGATCATTTGCCTCTTCGCGATTTCGATTTTATTGGATATCTGTTACAAATGTTGAAGTTATGGAATTATTCTGTTCTGTGGAATTTGATTTTTGACGACAACGCTTTCTCTTGGAAGAGTTTTTAGTGCATAATGGTTTCATGGGAATAAAATCCAATTATTTTGGAGAGTAAATCAAACTCTAATTGGTCTTTCATGTTGATTCTTATGCCATGATTTTCTCTTTCGTCTTTTAGCATTCGTCGTAAAATTGACTGGGGAAAAAGAGGCGCGGGCAGAGTGCACCTCTATTGAACTCAAAGGTGTCCAGAACAACCGGGAGGACCCTGAAAATTCAGGTATAATGTGCATTTCTTCTTTTATTATTTGTTCAGTTGGATTCAACCTCGGCAATATGCTGTGCCAGAACAGCTATTTTAATAGTTAACGATGAATATGATGGTGAAACAATATCAAATTATAAATCTTATGTGGCTGAAAAACGCCCCTGCAATCCAGACATCACTATCCTGAATTTCTGAATCTTTTTTCTTTCTTCAGTTCAAACATGTTATATTAATGGTGCGATCTTCCTAAATTGGTCAGACTACTATCATGGCATATAAGGCCCAAGTATTTATTTTTGTGATGATTCAGCGTGGGTAGGATTTTGTATACTTCATCACCTAGGTGGCTATTCCAAACCAAAGTTTTTTCCGTAATTTTTTTGTGATATTTGTGTGTTGCAGTTTTTCTCCCTTTGAATGGTTTTGATTAAAGGAGTTGCAGGCAACAGTTTTATTGTAATTCATTCGTTAGAATTATACTCTTGTTTGGAAGATCCTGTTCTGCTTATTTACCTTTTTATACTTGGAATGTAATTACCCGAAATATTTTCATCCCTCTTAACTCCCATCCTGATTAACTGGCTCAAGACATTATAGGAATTAATATGGAGTCTACTGTCAAGGTAAATCTACCAAGGTGTTCAAGTTTTATGAAACCAACTGCAAGCTATTTGGCCAAGCAAAATCAACCTCGAGGAATACACTCCACCACAGTTTTGCGAAGGTGATGATCATATCTTAAAATAATTCTTGACTGGCATTAATGATGTTTGTAGTCTTTTCAAAGCTTACTCTTGAAATATGATGGGGCCATTTCCCATTCCACCCCATGAAGGTAGGCTATATCAGGATTGTGAGTAATAGCTGTTGCTCATTCAATATTTTGGAACCTTTTCTGGTGAAAGAAGGGCTGTAAGCTCTTCAAATGATCTTGTGCATAACCACTATTTATTTTTAATCTTTATTTTATGTACTTTTCAATTTTTTAATCACTGGCCATTTTTTACTTCTTAGATTTCAGTTCAGCTTGGGCGATATTGTAGAGGCCAGTTCACAGCGTTCCTCGTTGAATATTAGTCATGCTACCAAGAGGCAAAAGTTGGAAGCTGGTTATTTTCCCAATGTGTGTGGAAACTTCTATTTCAACTTTTTCTATTTTGAATTGGCATTCTACCCATCTTCTAGAAATGTTTGTCTTTGTAGAGGGAAGAGAATGAAGCATTAGTTTTTGACCCGGATACGAGGAGACAGTATTAAACTTCATGTGTTGAAATCAAATATTTTGTCTAATAGTGTGTCGATCTTTTCTGATTGCATGAGAGGTTGTGAAACTCATTATTTGAGATGGTTCAGTTACCTCAGTCAGTAATTACAATTATTTGTTTCTCTTGCGTTCTTATATAGTACTGATAACCATTCAAACATTATTTGAAGATGCTGTGAAGG